CTCCCGCCAGTCCCCCATAAAACTGACAAGGGTGGTTGGGAATACATTAAAGCACTGCAGAAGCACAGAACGAGATAAGAGTGAAAAAGTCAGACAGGAAGATCCAAGCTAAGGGTCGATAGATAAGCGAATTATCGAACAGATGTTTTATCGAATGTATTAAATAACTAATTTGTCAAAAAGATGGAAGCAGGAGATTCGAAAAATTAAACCGTGTAAAATCTCTAAATAATTCCATTGATTCTCCCCCAGCAAGTGTCCTGAGGCCCTGAAACACAAACGGTAACTAATTGGCCTGATTGGTGGAGGAAATTAAGTATCCTTTGCCTATGACCCGTCGATCTACCTATATACAGTAGCAATCAGTATTAACGACGAGTACCAGTTTATTGGGAGGTTCATGGATCGATACATTGAGATTTATGGCAGCGGAGCAGGGAATCCCAAGAGAGACTCCAGGAACGACCGAAGTTCATCAGTTCGGAAGTAACCCCCCCCCCCCCCGAGCTTTGTCAATTTTAATGTTGTCAATCAAAGGCAAATCTTATTTTATCTCGCCCTTGATAACACACCGTGATAACAGAATCGTTATCAAAAGCTACCCCTTGCAGACATAAAAACCAAGTTCGTATTTATACACGCGAAAATGACAACAGTCGATTAACTTCATTCGCGTGATACCAAGAGCGAATGATAAAAAATTCGTCAAGTCCTCAAACGAAATAGGAAATTAGGTTAGAGTGTGAAATTGACAGTGTCTCTTCGACGGATCGTAATATTTATCAGTATAGAGATATACAGATATACAGTCGGTATAGCCATAAGTGGGTGGGAGTCGCACGAGGGGGTGTTGAAGTTCGACGTGATCGCATGGGATGTGGGTCACCGCAATGCCGGTGCGAGCGTTTCGCAAATCGCGCACGAGGATCGAGAAAACGTGAGTTCGATAAATCGACTACGTAATCAGTCGCAATGTTTCCCGGAGTCCCAGACATTCCGCCAGGTGATTTGAGAATCCGGGGTGAGGTCTGAATTCTTAGGAGGTTACGTATCAACCGAGTGGGTTAGGTTGGGTCAGGGTCAAGGACGCACGTGTTACCACGTTCCAGTGTAGCAGGCAGGTCCTGTAACAAATCGCAGTGAACTAGTAAGAGAAACGGCTATTACGTAGGCAGTGACCCTTGTTCCATGAGGGTTGTCTTCGTGGACCCCGTGACCTTTGCCCTTCCGGAGTATGGATATGCTGTAGAAGGGATACGGATCTTTATCGGTCTCGCCATGCTGTGCGAAGGATGTGGGTCGCCGCAATGCCGTCTCCTCGCGTTCCAGGTTCGCGAGGAGCGTGTGTAGCAAGGTCGTGACCTCCGGGAACCCTGACCCTTGTCTTCCAGGTGGACGGGGACCCACCGGTACCGGCAGTTGAGTCCTTATACCTTTTGGGTCCGTTGGGACCAGCTCTGATGAACGTGACGCAAACTCTGCATCAGCGACGACCTGGGTCCACCTGGTCCAGGCAGCTGCGTGCCTGAGCCTTCACTTTCAGGATTTCTCGTGCTGAACGTGGAATCAGACGAATCTTTGGATTATGACGATACGAAGTAGACACACCGGATGGTTCATAAACATTTAATGACCCGGTGAACTTTGAACCGGATGTCCTACGTGGTACAGATGATTTTTCCTGGGAAAAGATGGGGGTCCATCATGTGGAAATAGGACCTAGAGCAATGCCGTATCGAACCTCGTATAGTCTGTACGCAGTACAGGTACAAAGGAGGAATGCAAGGGAGGTATAACGAAGCTTTACCAGAGTCGGGTTAACCTTTGAGCCAGCAACCTCAGACCTGACATTCGTGTTCCTCGTCTTGCAAAGTGCTGATGCAGCGTGGGGTCTACTGACTTCCTGGTTATAGGTGGCTATGGAAAGTTGTTGGGGTGCCGAGGACGATGGGCGACATGCGAAGTGCATCGATTTTCCTATCGAGGGACATAATGAAGGGAGGAAAAGAAATGCAAGGGAAACCCTGACGTGCATCGGGACTGGTCCGACCTTGACCGATCTGCATTTACGTAAATTGTTTATTCCGAGATAAACTGCAGTGGCTGCACGTGAACGTCGAAAATGCTAAACGACGACTCGATGCAATGATATCCTCATGCAGGTTCATGATAACGATGAAATTATATGAGAAATTTGTAAGGACGATGATTATGGAAATTTCATATGGCAATTGACCCCTCATAAGAGAAGCGAAGAGGGAATAAAAAGTTCGATGACGCAAGTGCACTTGATAATCGCCATAAAACTGCCTTGTTTAATCGATTTGCTAAAGCAGTCATTGCTGACGTTACCATTAGGGGTTGCAGGCTGTAATGTAAGAGGGTGGTTTTGGATTGGGGGTTGACTGAATGGACAAGCTCGAGAAAGTATCTGGGTTATCCTCTTGGTTGCTGGAATAGCATCCATGCCAAATTGGGGCTGATTTAGCAGCCGTGAATAATTCCCAAGAGTCACGATACGAATTGCGAAAACTGACTGTCGAAGAGTTCGGGAAGCGAATGGGTTCGCTTGTGAACCAGGCTTAAGGCTATGTAACTCATGTTACGTACCGTACAGAGCAAATGGTAGCAGTTGTTCAGGAACTCGTCTCCAGGGTTGCCCCCGGGCATACGTTATTTTATACGAAATTTTATTCCATAATTGCTTCTTTTTATTTCATGACTTTTCAACCTTTCCACTTGGATATAAAATTAATTTTCGAAAAAAATTTTTATACATGTCTCAACCCCCTTTTTACGTTGCTACTTACCTAACCTGATGTCTTTGGATTCCAATATTTTTATTTTTTTTTTTTTTTTGCAAATTTGCCCACCTTTAACCGAGGCTATTACTAAATCAAGGCACTTATGCCATACATTCAGTTTCAGCAAACTCTTTTGACCTACATGCAGGAGAGGGTGTGGGAATTTCACTTCTACGTAGCCGACGGCTGGCCGGAAGTCGCTCCAATCTGTTTACACTTTCCCGGAATGACGCTATCCGTAAGTAACAAAATACAATTCGAAATAAACTCGTGTCCTACGTATTTATGAGATTCCGAAAGAAGCATAACCTTTTATCGTATCCTGACTAATGGTTCAAAATATTCGATCCGGTCCCGAGCGCCCCTTAATAGAACAGTCTTAACGGGATGACCTTAATATAAATATTGAAAGAGGATTTTGATCTTCGAGATAGACGTTACGAAGATAACCTAATCATATTTAAATTTTTCATGAGAACCATTAAAAATGAGTCAGCCCATATACAACAAAAGGAATGACAGATAAATTTGATCCGCGAGAAGCACCGGGTATAGAATTGCACATAGGGGTGAATAAAATATATGAGAACTAGATGGAAATATACATTCGACAGGTAGAATAAATTTTCTCTCGAGATATCGCACGGCCATTTCGTTAAAAATTGTCCAAATGCAAAAAGTCCAGTAGTTGGTATCCCCGAGACATTTAAGTCAAGGACCACGAAAGGATTCGAAAATCAACCGATCGATCCTTCCAAGATGAAAGTGCCTGTATAATGATACCTTCGTCACTATAATTAATCTTTTAATTAGAGAGTGATTAATTAACGGCAAACAGAACAAAAGCGAACCCTTGTCTTACCAAATGTAGAAACGTTCCTATTCGATCCACCGTAAGGATCAGGCGTTTTCAGCATCTTTGGTCCACACTCGTGAATTTACTTTCCTAACGCGTAAACGTTTGAGAATCGTAATCGAGATTAGGATCGTTGCTAATATTCCTAGTTGTAGGTTAGCCGAAGGAGAACGATGCCAAAGATGGGCATTACTTTCCTAACGCGTAAACGTTTGAGAATCGTAATCGAGATTAGGATCGTTGCTAATATTCCTAGTTGTAGGTTAGCCGAAGGAGAACGATGCCAAAGATGGGCATTTATACCCAAAGCACGTTCTCTGCCCAAGAGAGAGAGAGAGAGAGAGAGAGAGCGCGAAGAGGAAGAGGAGACTTAGAGTAGGTTGTGTCCCAAATCTCTATCTGGCCCTACGCCAGTTTCTCTCGAGCCTTCGTCTCCCTTTGCTCCTCATCCTGCTCTCTACCCCTCGATCCCCCATCAACCTCGTAATCCTACTCTGGCAATTTCCTTCTGCTCTTCCGTTAATTACTATTACACGAGATTAATCAAGCGGACCTGGTACACACCTTCGTCCGACCCTTAGATAAAGCCAGATAAGCTTTAGGGACATTCGAAAAGAAGCCAAAGTGTCTTCCGTCAGTCTAGGGACACCGCGGGACCGTTAAACGACGGCGTCAGCATAGTAATCCAACCTAGCCCAACCCTAACTTAGCTCTAAACACGTCTTCTTAACAGTATCAAGTGTCAAATTAATAATCCGCCGAAGAATTTTCCAGGTCCATCCATTCTAAGTGTCTTGTCTCTCTCTCTCCCTTACAGCCCCACGGATTGCAGTACGAGAGCGTGGGCGTCTTCTGTCCAGGTGATCGATTAGACCTGCTGCGTCTTCTGCGAGAGGAGGACGTACTTCTGGACTGGTCCAGGCCACTCTACATCAACTTCACCCACTGCGACATAGTCGACGAGCTGGTGAGGCTCTACAAGGACACGGGTACGGTCGAGCGGGTCCTGGGTGACATCTGGGCCTGCGAGGAGCCCGAGAAGACGATCCAGGTCGAGGACGACCTGCCGGCGAACCCGGATGTCCAGGTGGGACCGCTGAGCGCGGAGCACGCCGAAGGAATTCACGAGCTGTATCCGGCGAACGACATGGAGTGCCACGAGCTCTTCCTGAGACTGATCAGGACCCTACCGGCGGCTGGAGTCTTCGACAAGGGCAGTCTGGCCGCGTGGATGGTCCAGTCCTACTACGGGGCCATGTTCTCCATGCAGACGAAGCCGGAGTACCGAAGGAAAGGATACGGCACGAGATTAGCAAGGTAAACAGAGACTTGATCCACGTAATCGTCTTCCGGAAATTAATCGTCCCCCCTTTCACAGGTACCTTACCAAACGCGTAGCCGACAAGGGTTACAACCCCTTCGTCGTGATACGTCCAGAGAACGAGGCCAGTCAGAGCCTCTACAGGAAGTTAGGATTTAAGAAACTCTATCAGACGGTCCGAGCGACGTTCACGCCGTTCTCGTGGCAGGAACCGGAAGAGGAAGCCAGTTGCATCCTGAGGGATAACCTGGAGAACGCTGTCAGACAGCTCAAGGTCGAGCAGAGGGTCATCGAGGCGCTTAAGGTCAACGAGGACACCACCGTAACGGCTGACCTCGACAGCAAGGACGATAACGAGGGCGAAGACGCGATACGGGGTACCTCAGATTCGCCAGAAGACGCCGACGTGGTCGCTGAGAACGACGACGGGATCATCGCCGAGAATGGTCTTCAGGGTTACGGAAGGGAGGAGGAGAATCTCGAACCCATAGAGGAGCAACCGGAAGACAGGATAAACGGACTGGACTCGCCGGAGAAAGAGGCGACAAACGAGAGGGGAGTGGAGAGCTCACCGGAAGTCGAGGACAGCAACGAGGGCGACGGAGGAACGGAGACGAACGGCGGTGGGAATTAAGTTCAAATCACTATTAAACTATACCGACACAGGAGAAACACATTAATTAATTTATTAATTAATTAAACAACATTCGTTTAAATATCTGCTTGCTTGACACCCGCGACGGCAGCAGCGATACTCGAGGAAATTCCGAGGACAAAACAAAAATTAAAAGGTTAACACGAGGATGAGGTAGGAATAATTAAAAAAAAAAAATTATATTACACATATACACTTAAACACACAAACGCGGGCAGAGTACGAAAAAAATGGAGAAAAGCAAAGTTAAAAGAGATATGATATTTTAAGAAATCGTCAAACTCGAAAGGAACCACCACAGTCCCAAGTTAGCGCGCTGAATTCAAATGGGTCGGGAATTTTTAAATTCTATTTTTCTTCCCTATCTCCGCTATCCCTCGCTCGCGCCATCTTTCGCACCGTCAACTCTCTTCCGGTATCTCTGCGATCCACGTGACCCACGTCACTCTCTCCGCGTGCCTAGTTCCTCATATCATATTTTTAAAGCGTCGCCAAGTACGTTGCTTAGGACCAAGAGAGGACGTGCGTCCCGCGCCATTGGCTATCGAGAAGTAAGGCCAAGCGGAAACGCAAGCGCGTGTCGAACGGATCCGAGTGATTTCCCAATGGCGTGGGAAGTCGCTGAAAGGTGAACGCGTAGATTTTACAATCAAACTGAATCCGCTGTAGCAAACATTACATGTTCTTCGTAAAATTTCATTGTCACGAAATTCCATCACGATCCACGAATTACAGGAGCATTTTATTAGCGAATAAATATCCCATGATGCAGCTCGATATTATTGTCATCGTATTAGCATACGCGTCGATACGAATTTTTATAATTCAGTACGGACGATTAAGCAAACTGTGATTTATTGTTTTGCTGCGAAATACGTAGAGAGGAAAATGAATTTACGAACTTCTCGCGCCAACCTGGGACACGCTAATACCGTACTATGTAAGAGGCTATATCGTCATGTCGGTTGGGACGTATAAGACTTAACCTCAAAATTCAAAAGAACCTTATTTCCCTGCACGCGAACCCTGGTCGTGCCTCGTCACGATACGAGGATTAATAGAAGAAAAGGTTGAGATTATTTGAACAGAGCTTCCCTTCTGGTCGCGTCGATATCGTTATCGAGCTGTACCACCGCAGGCACAGCGAGCGAAGGGAGAGACGTGAAAAAAAATTATTTCTTGCTATACCAGTGGACCGATAGAAAAATTTAGTTCCACGATGAATTTCAGGTTAGGATAACAATCACGAAGTTCTTGAATCAGTATCTCCTTGTATCGGAGGATCGATTAAGGAGACGTACTAAATTAATAATATCGAACGGTCGTGACTTGACGATTAAAATTTCGTTCGATTGTTTCACTGACACCCTGTATAATTCGTTATCGGTTGTTTGTAGAATTGATATTGATAAGACGTTATCGGGTTGATGGATTTCTTTTTTTAAATTATTATTACACGGTATCGATTATACGAGGAATCGGCATGATGATATATGACGCAGGATTAACGATAATAATAACATTAATAATGACAAGAATAGTATTAATAATATTATTAATGAATATTAATTACCGCGCAAAGGGAGCCTGGACGGCCCGACTCGTATCGCCGACTCTCAATTTAGATTCTAGATAGGTATACTACGTATATAATTTTTTCTACGTTTCTTAGCGATATAACCCGATCGTCGGGACACGTGAACGGGAACTTGAAGGTATATCGGGAACTTCACGGGATTGAGTCGGGCCCCGAAGAAGGGCTCCACGAAGGCCGCCCAGTCCCTCTTTATTTTTTATTTTTAACGTTCGGGGGCCAGCTGTGATACTTTACCCAATCCACTAAAATGCTCTGGTCGAGTAACGAATTCTAGTCTAGGGAATGATGGGTCGTTACCTGAAAGAGAGGAGGAAGAAAGAAATAAATAAAAATAGAGTACCCTCGAGAATTTTGTTCTTGAAGCGACAAGCAAGCTTGTCGTTTTAAAATGAAAAATTGGCGAGAAAAAGTTCGAGGAAGAACGAGGATCTGGCGATTACGAGAAACTCAAAAAAAATTCTCCGTGTACCTCGTGTCAATTAAATGATAATTAATGCACCAAGCGCAGGCCGCTTGAAGGCGGGCCGAGTCTTTTTTTTTCTTTTTTTCTTTTGAAAGTTTTGAAGGATTTCAAGAAGAAAAGGAAAAAATTACAGTCCAGTTACGAAATGCGCGACTCGCTAATGTCAACTGTGGAAGCTCCTTGTAGTAAGGATTACTCGCGTGACGATGCATATGTGTATGTATGGTATACCTATGTACGTAGCGACTAAGTACGTAAGAGAGTTTTTCGTAATTACCGGGACGCGCGCAACGCATTCTCTCCGTCGCAGTCGTTTAAACGGAAAGCGTTGCGAAGCTGGCTTTAAGGGAGGACAAAAACTCGAGACTCTCCAGACTGTTTTCGCTTAGGCTTTTTAAATCGCGCGGGCGAATTAACAATGGCGAACTTGAATCAATAGAAGCGCCATAATGAATTTTTGGGATTGTCAAAGATTCCGATAGATACGACACACAGATTACACGTATAACTTAATAGAAAAAAAAAGAAAAAAAACAACACATAATTTACTCACAGACAAAGACACAAAAACGTAAAGAAAAGGCGCTCCCGCTCTTATATATTTAAATATACTATATTCTCCTTACGCACAAGATGGCGTCGATCGTCAAATTCGAACGGCGAAATTTTCACGAATTATCTAATCTCGCTTCCAGTTAACGGTTTTTCGAAATTTTCCCACTTGCGACACCCTCCGTTCGTCAATGATGACGAAAATTGACTCTGGCTTGGTGGAGGGTGATTATAGCCGTTGAAACTCTTGCAACGGAGAGACGAGAATGATAAGCGTGACACGAGAGCAACAACGAACCTAAGAAGTAATTGAAAATTCTCTCCCAGCCTTTAGCTAGTCGACTAGCCTTAGCGCTGAACACTGACTTTTCGTCTCGCGATTAGGCCTAAAAACTGTCTAAACGATAATTGGACACATTAATTCCAACGACACTTATGTAAATAATTATCCACTTTCTGTCCAGCCTCTATTTCTCTCTTTTCGCTGTTCCTCGATCCACTTTACTTCCACTACTTAAGCCCGAGCACGTTGCATCTCACAGGCAACACTAAAATCCCTGGATTCACATGAAAAAGAAAAAAAAAAAAAATTCAAACAATGGTTTCACTGACGAACGAATAAAACCAACTATGCCACAAGTATCCACTGACAGAGTTGAAAGGCTGTTTGTCAAACGGAATTCTTCATTTCTTCGAGGCGTCGTTTACGTGTTTGTCAACGGTAAAAAAGAAGTTTTACATAACGCAACGCAGGACACATACTTCTGTTTGACAAACGTCCTTGATCATTGTAATTTCGATTCCCACTTTATTATCCTAAAAGACTTACAATTAGATGGTAGTCCCTTAGCTGTAATTATATAAAGTATATCAAACCTTCATGGGACTGTGGTCAGTCGAAATCTTTTTATACATTGTTTTTTTTTGTATAATACATATTACGAAATTTGTATACTTTATTGATGGTAAAAGACGCATGACAAAAAGGCATAAAGAGAATCAATTTTTTATAAATACTTATATCTATCACCTTCCATCCACCATGAAAAGTATATTTGAGAAAGTTGTTGGTATGAAAGAAAAATAAAAGCAAAATAAATTCACCACTTGCCACAGTACAAACAGTGCAGGAACGGAGTCCGTGAGTAATTTAGACAGTTATTTTTGTAAATTCTAAGGTCCAACGTCAATCCAGTATCGTGATGATATCCATACGGTTCAGTTTATCCTGTAAAATAACCAAACTAGATTAGAAGTGTAATCCATCAACCGTCATACCAGCAGTACAGCACAACATGGCGTCATCGCACAATAACGCTCCATATAGCTTACATATGCACAATAACAACTGCTTTCAATTACTTTAAATTACAGTACCGCGTAGAGATAACAATTTCCAAAAGATCCGCGTTACGAATGTTATCGATAACGTAAATAAAAACGAAAATCCCAACGACTCTCAACAGCTGATTACATACCCGAGGACGGCTAGCGAACCACTGGCCATAATGGAGGCTGTTTCGGGCATTTTCGCAAAGCTTCGTGTGTTCTCGTAAAGAAAAAGCATAGCCCGCGGTTCAATCGTATTCATTCATGAGGTTGTGAAACTTGAATTTCATTAGTACCGAGTGAAGTATCGGCATCGTGTGCCGGCATATCGCCACGAGAAAAAATGGGCCGAGAAAATAAAAATATAACGGTAAGTCAAAATTTTTTAAAAATGAGAAAAATATATTTACCGAATTAGTAAGTGTCTATTAATAAAGAATGAATAATATATTTCCGTCAAACCGTTACCCACAACGAAATGCGATAAAAAAGCCATTATTAGTGGCATTATCAACTGTCGTAATCAGTACAGCTGTATATACATTACGGCACGAGTAATGGCAAAATTCTCTCGTGATAGGAATCCAAGATTGAAAACACCATGACAAGTCAAAAATTGATATAGCAATCTACCCGCCTTAAATGAACCGTTCAAATAAATGTTTATAGATGGCGTTGACGAGACAAGTTTACACAATGAAAAATCAACTGAGTCACAGTACGCAAAGACTAACAAAAGATACAGTTGTATATATCCTCGTCGTTCTTGAAATACATACTAAAAATTACGAATACTGCGAATGCGAGTTTCGCGAACGATTTCGAGACACAACAAAGACGTAATTTCCCGAAAGGGCACTTTCACAATTTCGCACTGTCTCACAGCAGTAAACGGAATATCGTCCAAGGTACGTGATTGTCGGCCAAGCGAAACAGAGAGAATCAAGTGTATAAATGAATAAACGCATAAACGCAATATGAAGCGTGCATCTTACGTCAAGTGAGAGCAGACAAAGAGCTCTGAGAGTGACTACAAACGTTCAGTACGGATGCCGAATCGACTCTGAAGCCGAGAAGCCGCAGGTGCCTACCGCTGCGCCGTGCGCGGCGTGCACTAGACATCGGTTGCGCTCGGGGCGCATCGGGAGAGCTCGGAGCGTTCCGTGAGGTATGGTGGGGGGCCCAGTGTATCCGTGACGTCACATAATTAGAGTAAATACAAAGTAGTCTTGATGGGACAGCGGCGTGCGCCGCACCGTGAGTCGCTGGTCCGCGCGCTTCAAACCTATATCGCTCTTACACACGTTTGCCCGCGTATCACCGTGTACAAGTAACGCGTTATGTACCTTCAGTGTATGTGTGCTAAAAAATCCTAGATGAATGTGAAGACAGTGAGTGACACTTAGGAACAAAAAAAATGGATAAGATAGAGGTGAGCAGAAAACATTCGTCTAATTGTTACGTGCGTTCCGTGTGTTTTTATTTTTTTTTAATTTTCCCAATGTTTTTTTTCCCCTTTGTTTTTTCCGCCTTAGTTTTTCCCAACAATTAAATTAGTCGATTCTTTATTTTTCTTTTACCTTACCACAAACTTACTTTATTATGGTACACCATTGACAGCGTGATCCGAGTTATGATACAGTGAAAATTATCGTGTAGTTGGACATCTGGCAAGAAATTACATTGTGTGTTTTCAACGAGCGATACCATTAAACGGACTGGTTACTGTCTCTGTCTCTTCGTCGTCCCGTGTTTCTCTCTATCTATCAATATTCTGTCTCATTCTGTTTATCTTCATTTCTCTTTCTGTCTCTCTCGCTCTCTCCCTATCCCCACCAACGACCGACTGTCTATCTCTTTCTCTTTCTTCTCTCTATACACACTCTGTGATCCCTTTGCCACCTTCTCTATCTCTCTCTCTCTCTCTCTTTCTCGCAGTTGGTGAGGTATTTATAGATGTGCCTTAACCCGATTTAACATTACCTCGACTGCCATTGTCCTAACAGCGGCTTAATGAGAAGAGACAGTTTTTCAATCGACCAGACGAGATCGGCGGACGACTGGAAAAAATATAAGAAAAAAAAGAAAAAAGAGTAACGACCACAAATCGTAACGTATCCGAAAGTGAGAATCGATAAGTGGGACCTTTCTAATCGTTCTTATCGCTCGTCCGAGAGTGAGGGTTTTTGAGAATTTGAAATCCCGTGTAAACAATAAATTGCGGTTGGGAACGAGCATTGTTATTATTACAAAAGATATTGCATATTAATTATTATTATTATTTTCTTTAATTATGTTTATTGCGCGTTAATTGAATTTTCTCCCTCCTACCTCTACCTCCGCCACCTCCTCGCCTACCTCCACCAATAACATCTCGACAAACCTTTGCCGGGACCCACCTTACGAATAAGCGGTTGTCGGTTGCGTGTGTATCGATACGAGAGAAAGAAAAATTCCGTTTCAACAGAAATCCGCGTATTCTCGTGTTCGGCTTCTAAATTTAATCGGAGCTCAGTGTTCCAGTTTAGCGCAAGAAATAAAAATATTATTCGCAGCCTTCTGCCAGGACACCGTACGTACACCACCGGCCCCCCCCCCCCTCAATTTTACCCTCTTCACCCATTCCATGGTGACGGTCCATATTTTTTTGTTCTCCCGAAGGGGTGGTGGTAAAACTTATCTCTTGTTTGCTTTATTTTTATTTTTCCATCATTTGCACAACGCGTAAGTACGTGAATCCGTATCCGTACACTCTCACACGGAAACTCGAACTTTGAAACGTGCAGAAAACTCGCTAAAATCAAAGTACCACTTGTAATATTGAATTTACAAATGGAGGACGTTCATTAATCGCGCAGCCACGTCGAAACGCAAACAAATTGAAAGTATATATAACATTCGAAACTGTAATCGATAAAAGTCTAGGCGCGTTGAGTCACGCACGGAAAAAAGAAAAATTATAATCGTCGAGTTATAAATTTTTTCTAATTCCCGTCCCGCTGCCCCCTCGCCCCCCAGCGTCTGGAATTCCCTCCCCCCTCACCCCCAAGACAGAAGAATCGTTAATTTCGTCTTTGGCCGTTGACCGTTTCTACGAAAAATATCGAGGGGAACCTCCTCGCATCTTTGTAACTATTTTCACGAGTAAACACGCTGGATGCCACACACACCGTGGCCGCCAATCGCAGTCGTTCGCGTTCCCCCCACTTGAGCGTATAACAAGCTACCCCCACCACGAGGCACACGGCATTACTTTAGCCTCCCCTCCCCGCCCCTCCGTCATCCTCTATACGAATAGTCTACCGTCTCTCTCGCTCTCTCTCTCTCCCTCTTCGAATTCATTTCGCATCGACTAGAAAACACGAACTTCTGCTTACATTTGTTATTATAATCTCGATGAAGGCTCGACATGCACACAAACAATTTACAGACCGTATCCGCGCGGACTGTGTGCGTTATTATTTCCAACTATGGCGATACGCACGTACACGCGCTCGCTTTGTAATATTCGTTCGCCCGTTCTCTACGGCATTCGTATATTATACACCCACACACGGACCAGGCAAGCCTATCTTATTATTCCAACGAAATTTTGTTCGAAATTATCCAATAATCGTTTGCGTATTCGACTCGTCCGTATATGCATAATTGTGCTTTTCGGTTGGTGTAGATCCTTTTTTTTTCACTGCGCATGCGCCGACCTACCACAGTCGTAGGACTCGGGCTGCCATGGGACTCGTATACGTACGATCGTAGCTGACGTGTCAGTGCTTGTATTGTATCTATATACGTTTTAACGTACAATCGACAAATCATTATCGAAAATATCTTTATCGCGTAGAGGACTTTACGAGAATTTGACAGCGTTGAGATTCGAAAAATATATTTTGACAAATACGTTTTATACGTGTTTCTTTTTTTAAATATATTGTCTTTGTTTTTTTTTTCACTCTCGTTTTTTACGTATCGCTCTCTACTTCCCTCACCCGTGTTTACGATGCTAACGGTATTAAAACCGGAAGTGGACTCGAGCCGATTGTCGTCTTAATCGAATTCACTTTTGGAGCTTCGCCGATGAGTCCCGTAGTCCCTCTTCCCTCCATGGTCTCTCGTATTACTTGCCGCGAGAAGAAAAATGTCGGAAGTGATAAGGAAAAATGGAAAAAAAAATAAAACGAGCGTCATCCCGAGACAATGAGAAGATGAGACCGGTACCTCCTTCCCTCTTCTCCCCCCCCCCCCCCC